ATTTGCAACATTTTGTAAATGGATTATCTTTTGCACCTCTTGCTCACATATATTTGATCTAGAATCAAGGTGTGATAATCCTGTTGCATTCCATGTTATTTCTTTCGTACTTGAGTCCGATTTATTAGTTTCTCCCCCTAAGGTTGGGAATACTGTCTCATTGAAATGACAGTCAGCGAACTGTGCAGTGAATAAGTCACCAATCAATCAGTCATTGGTTCAAGATATTTGATTATTGAGGGAGATTCAAATCCAACATAAATTCCCAACCTTCTTTGAGGACCCATTTTTGTACGATGAGGTGGAGCAATCGGAACATAAATAGCACAACCAAATATCTTTATGTGTGCTAAGTTTGGCTCTTGTCCAGTAACTAATTGCATGGGGGAATATTCATGATATGCAGTCGGTCTAAGCCGAATTAAATTTGCTGCATGTAAAATAGCATGTCCCCAAGCTGATGAAGGTAAATTACACTTCATTAATAATGGTCTAGCGATTAATTGTAATCGTTTAATCAAAGATTCAGCAAGACCATTTTGTGTATGGACATGAGCAACAGGGTGCTCCACATCAATCCCAATCGACATACAATAGTCGTTAAATGATTGGGAAGTAAATTCTCCTTCATTATCAAGTCGGATTCTTTTTATAGAATGATCCGGAAAATGAGCTCGTAATCGTATGATTTGAGCAAGGAGTTTAGCAAATGCTAAATTTCTAGTCGATAAAAGACTAACATGTGACCAACGTGTCGAAGCATCAATCAACACCATAAAATACCGAAATGGTCCACATGGAGGGGCAATCGGCCCACAAATGTCTCCTTGAATCCTTTCTAAAAATGCAGGTGATTTAGTTGCAATTTTGTTCATAGAGGACCTGATGATCATTTTGCCAAGAGAACAGGTCTTACAAGGAAAATCCCTTGATACTGGAACCCTTATATTCTTTAATGGGTGTCCAAGTGAAGTCTTAATGATTTTATGCATCATTACATGGCCTGGGTGACCTAAACGGTCATGCCACAACATGAATGTTTTCTGATCATCTAACTTTGCGTTAGAAACCAAATTTATTTCGAATGGACTAATATGAGTGAAATATAGTCCTGAGGAATATGCTGGCATTTTTTCACAAATACATTTAGTGCCAGATTTAGTTGTCGTTAGACAAAGATATTCCTTTTGGTTTTCATTCATGGTTTCTATGTGATAACCATTTTGACGCATATCTTTAAAGCTTAATAAATTTCTCCGCGATTTGCTGGAGTATAAAGCGTCATTTATAAGTAATTTTGTCCCATTAGGGAGCATCACATATGCTTTCCCAGAGCCTTCAATGAGCTTCGCAACACCTGATATTGTATTGACTTTAGCCTCAACTAAAGTCATTTGAGAAAAATATATTTTATTTCTCAAAATGGTGTGCGTTGTGACACTGTCTATCAGACATAGCTCTTTATCACTTGAGTGATCCATGTCTTCAATATATGTAAATAAACATAAGCTTGACCACAAATTATGCATATTATTTAACATAAGAGTACATATATTACACACATTTATTTAAAAACAAGATAAAAAGGGGAAGAGAGAAATAGTACATAAAACTAGTATTTTACAATATCATGGGTCTAATATTTTATTTTGTAGCATTGTGATTAATGGCAAAAGCATCGTCCATAATAGCATCATCCACGAAGAAGTCGGACACGTCAAATTTTGGCAAAGGTGGAGTTGTGTCATTAACATAATGAGCTTCCACATTTTTGCCTTTGTTCAGATTCATGGAAGCTTGAAATAACTCCACCAGATGTTTAGCCGTGCGACATTTATTAGCCCAATGCCCTGTCATGCTACATTTATAACAAGTCGATTTTCCCGAGGATTTTGGAGGGCGATTTATTTGATGGGCTTTTTGTTTGCCCTTGCCCTTTTAATCTGGTCTTTCGACGTGTTTGTATTCTAGGTGTGACTTGTTTTTATGACCATTAAAATGCCCACGTTTAAAATGCCTTCTACTGTCACTATGTGTTGCATTTGTTTCAGTGGCTAAATTATGGCCAGATGGACCATAAACTGAAGGACTAGAACCAATGGGTCTCAGATTATGATTTTTCATCAAAAGGTCATTATTTTGCTCAGCTACCAATAATACTGATATTAAGTCGGAGTATTTTTTAAAACCCTTTTCTCTATATTGCTGTTGCAGCAGCATATTAGAAATATGCATTGTAGAAAAGGTTTTCTCCAACATATCAGCATCAGTGACCTTTTGTCCGCATAACTTTAATTTAGATGTTATTTGGAACATGACAGAATTATAGTCACTGATTGATTTGAAATCCTGGAATCTTAAATTGATCCAGTCATACTGAGCTTTTGGCAAAAGTACATTTTGTTGGTGGTCATACCTCTCTTGTAAATTGTCCCATAATTCTTTTGGATCATCAACCAAAAGATATTCAAATTTGAGACTTTCATGGAGGTGGTGACGGAGGAAAATGATAGCTTTCGCTTTATCTTGGGAAGATGATAGATTATTGACTTCAATTGTTTCTTCTAAACCATTAGCTTTAAGATGAGCTAGAGCATCGACTTTCCATTCCAAATATTTTTGACTAGAGAGATCAAGAACGTCGAACTCTCTTTTGCTAATATTTGCCACAATATACTACAAAATTTAATTAAATTTATGTTAGTATACATTATAGAGATTATATCAAATGATATAATTGAATATAGTATTTTACCGGGAGTATGAACGAAGTTTTATTTTGTCTAATTGATATTCTCTCTTCTACGTATTCTTTAATTTTAAAACATATTTATTCATTCAAATATTGTAAAAAAATGTAGTCCATATTTTCGCCACTTCAATTCAAAGAGTGTTGTATATACTTGATTTACTTTTAGCATTCAACCAAACGTTCGATTTTGTTTTTATACTACCCGTGAGTCTAACTATTAATACGAGGCAAGACAAATTTATTCAGACTGATATAGCCTACTGGCTATTGCAGGAAGTCTGACCATTTTAATATCACATGTATCAATCCGTAATATCTAGTTGATATTTGAATAGTCTAGAACCTAAAAACAACACTCTAGTTTTGTCATTATAATATTAATTTATATTATCAAATCATATCCGTGACTTGCATTTATTTAACTTTGAACAACGGCAACAATAACTTCATCTTTATATTCAGACCATTTCTCCTTTATCTCTTTACTCGGTTTACCCCTTTCACTATCTTTTGTTTACTACTCCATTACACAATCTCCTACGTTGCTATATATCAAGTATGAAGTATAATATCTTAAGCCATTTAGTATTATTCTTAAGCTATCATTTTACGAGACGGAGTTATGTATCAAGAGAAAAACGTCTTGATGAAGCTTTAAACGGTACGCTTACTTTAATTCTTTCAGTACAATCATATGTATGATTTTAATCATTTGGAAAAAGCTTACTTTCAAAGTTTGAATAGGTGTTTATCATGCATGCATGCATGATTTGCTCAAGATTAAAGAAGATAATATAATACTCCGTATTAATGTTAATATATACCTGCAGGAGATGGTGATTGGTGATAAATTTGAGCTGATTTCTTGGAGAGTTTTGAGCAGATTCGTGCTGATAACGTGCTGTGAAATGAAGAAGATGAAGACTAAATAAAGAGATAGATATATTGATAAAAACTTCTGAATTACTTCTTCTTAATATCAAGATTTCTCTGAGTTTCTGAATTGCTTGAATTCATTTACAAGGCTTCATCAAGCTCCTATTTCTGAATTGCTTGATTAGTCATGACCTAAATGATGAGTCTACAGATTTGGTGGCAATAGCATATTAAACCACCTGTTCTAACTAGGTTACAAGGATCATCACAAGGATCAGGAAAAGTTTGGTGTCCTAATGAGTATGCTGCTTACAAGGATGAATAATTCACACACATGTTATTCCCAGGATTTTATAACAGTATATTCATTTTTGAATCATCAAAACTTATTGTTGCGGATTGAAATAATTAAAAAATGGATTGGGCCACTATTTTCACAATGGGCCATTGCGGATTGAAATAATTATTTTTTGAAATAATTAAAAAATGGATTCGAGCTAGGGATGGCAATTTAGCCCGACTCGACGGATACCCGCACCGAACTGAACCAGTCAAAATGGGGAAAACTGCTTTGACTGGATAACGGGTACGGGGCGGGGAATACCCGATTTACGTAAACGTGTAATGGGGCGGTTATGGGTTTATACCTACCCGCCCCGTTACCCGCCCCGTTTAATTTGGATACGGTTACCCGCACCATTGCCCGACCCGCACAATTAACTTATATATTTTAATAGTTTATGTATTTATTATTTAATATAATAAGTATATATGAGTAGTAGTACATTAGTATATGACACTTATTCGCTCTAATACTTTGAAACAATATTCAAGTTATTGGCTATCCTTTGCAATTATGAGGAGTTGGTGCTCAAAGTTCACGATTTTAGATTTTGAATTTTGAATATCATTCATCATCCTTCCTTTGTTAACTTCTACAGGATTTATTTTCTTCACCCAAATATTTTAGATTACTCTACCTTGCTTTAATTTATGTAATTGCTAATAATTTTGTACAGGTGTATGGATGATTAAATTAATTTTGATTGGTTGCTATAAATTATATCAAGCTTTAAATTTTAAATTATGATTTTGTGGTACTATTTAATTTTGTTTTTTAACTCTATTTAACTCTATCTGTGGTACTATTTTTTTTTTAATTTAGGTGGTTAATGATAAGTAGTTAATCATCATTTTAGGATTTATAAGGGAAAAAATTATTTTTTAATGATAAGTAGTTAATCATCATAAGGGAAAAAATTATTTTTTAATAAAACGGTTACCCGCGGGTAACGGTTTTCCCCGCGGGTAAAAAATACCCGACGGATAATGGGGCGATTTCGGGGAATTTTTTTATCAAACGGGGCGGGCGGGTACGTCCCCGCCCTGTTGCCATCCCTAATTCGAGCCGAATCCTGCAAGTTTTCTTCGATGCTAATTTGGTCATTATTTTATACGGAGTATCAAGTTTCTCGTTCTCTTCCGGAAAATCACGCGCCACAGATTTTATGCCCGCTCATCTTCCAGGTATTCTCTAATTCGTTTTCAATCTTACCTAAATTCTGAATCCAAATCTTATCACGAAGAGCTAAGGAAATCAGAAGATGGATTCGCCATCTCAGAGTTTACAGTTCTTCGTTCAGTTCCCAGACCTCAAAATCCCTTCTCGTGCTTTGGTTATTGAATCGCCGACCCCCGATTTCACAATAAACGACCTCAAATCATTCGTCTTGTCCAAAACCCTAACCCTAGATCAGGATTCCGTCTATTTCACCTTTAATGGGAAACTGGTCCCGGATTCTACCCCTGTAAAAAGTTCCCTGATTTCTCCCCTGTCGACCTTAACCCTCCACCGTCGCCTCCTTGGTGGGGGCGGAGATGGCGGCGCCACAGGGGCGGAATCTCGAGACTGTTACCTCAAAATGTATGCTGAGAAGAAACCTGACAAAATTGATGAAAACGAGCGTAGATTATCCAAGTGGTTGAATTGTACGTTGTCAAACGAGCCACTTAGGCACCCTGTGGTGACTGATAAGCTAGGGAATCTGTTTAACAAGGAGGCCTTGGTTGAAGCTTTGTTGAGGAAACAAGTACCCAAGCAGTTTTCATACATAAAGGGATTGAAAGATATGGTCCCCATAGAGTTATCATCTATTCCGGGCATGGATGGTACTGTCTTGTGTGGTGAGACTAGGTTCCAGTGTCCCATATCAGGGTTAGAGTTTAATGGGAAATATAAATTCTTTGCCCTTAGGACTTGTGGGCATGTTTTCAGTTCCAAAGCTTTGAAAGAGGTTAAGTCTTCCTCTTGTTTGGTTTGTCACAAAGAATTTATGGAGAATGATAAGATTGTGATAAATGGGTGTGAAGATGAGGTTGCAGCATTAAGAGAGAGGATGGAGGGAGAAAGGGTAAAACTTAGAGATGGTAAGAAGACAAAGAAGGTTAAGAATTGGGATTTAGCCCATAATGTAGATGGTGGTGAGGTCACACGCCTGAGTGGAACCAAACATGGTATTGATGATAAGGTTGGAGAGAAGGGGAAATTGGAACTGAACAAGAAAGTTAGTTCCAATGGTAAAATAGAAGTGAAGAATGTTATCAATGGCAAGCGGTTCAAGGCTGTTGATAATGCGCCAGTTAATGCCACCAAAGAAGTGTATGCATCTATTTTCACATCTTCCAGGAAGTCTGATTTCAAGGAGACATATTCTTGTCGATCACTGCCACTCGGAAGAAATTGATGAGCTGGTAGTATCTATGGGGTGATGAATTAAATAGTGTCTTTATCTGCTTTTATTTTCATACTGAGTATGTAAACCTTCATTGATGCATAGCTGCTTGCTTAGAAGTGGTATTTATGTGACGTACTATTGTGGTCTGTGGATAATGGGTTTGTATTTGATAAAGTGACTTGAGGTTGACATTGAGTCTGCGTTGATGTTTCTATTCTTCCCTTTGTTAATGATTTTATCTAATAATCTATGGGAATGCTTTACTGCTTAGGCCTTTCAGTGGCTAAGGGCTAGCAACTTATATTTTGGTTACTCATAATTTTGTATTCACTTCGGTAGGGTCTGTTTGATCCTGGAAAATAACAGTTAAAGGAAAAGGGAAAGAATATTTTAAGCGGATTGAAACTGGACCAGAAATAAAACCAGTTTATGTACATACGGTTAAGGAATCATTTCTCCAATTATGTAGTATGTTCACTTTGTGTGTAACAATTTAACATTATATGTCTAGGGGTGTTCGTCGGTTCGGTTTGGTCGGTTTTTGGTTCGGTCGGTTCGGTTTGGTCGGTTTCGGTCTTGGAAAAGGTGAAACTGTAAACTGAACCATGCTACTTGAGTCGGTTTCGGTTCGGTTAATATCGGTCAGTTCGTTTCGGTTTTGTTCGGGTTTAACATGTTTTTGTCGGTCGGTTCGGTCATTTTTTTAACCTCAAAGGTGAAACCGTAAACCGAATTGCTAATGGTTAATCGGTTTAAGTCGGTTTCGGTATGATTCGGTTTTGGTCGGTTCAGTTTCCGTCTGTTTGTCGGTCGGTTTCGGTTTTTTGGTTTTTTTGTTCACCCCTATAATATTATGTCATATTCCCTACTAAAGAGTAACTAGGTCTTAACTCTTAATAGCTAAAATTTTAACTACTCACGATAAACAGTAAATAACTACATGAGTCAAATTGATACGACAAATTCAACATTACTCTTAACTTCTTAAGGTATTGTATTTTTTCTACATTGATCAATTACAATTTACAATTGAATAATTTACATGAGAGATGTCCACGTTCTCAAGTGCGTTCAAATTGATGAAAAAGGAACATAAAAAGGAACCTTCATAAAAGTCAAGGTCATCAAGTTCGTGGGATTGCATTTTGTTACTCTATCTAAATATCTAATACGAATTTTGCTCTTTGTACCCATTTTAATACTCACCCTATACCGACTATATATACTCCCAAAAAATAATTATCCCCGTTCACCCCCTTTACCCCCTTCCCCTCATCTCTCCTGTACCCCTTTTTGTACGCACCTTCCCTCTCCCCTCCCCCCTCCCCCTACTTCTATGCCATTCTTCTCTCCCCCTCCCCTATTTTCTCCTTCACTAAAGCTCGAACTGATGCAGACGGAAGGGATAAAGACGATCGATCTACCTTGAATATACCCATGAGCAGCCACTTTTCTTTCAATGTAAAATTCAATCTATATTCTTCTCTACCTTGTTCATTGTGTTTTGTTACATTTAGGATTATATTTTTTTTCAATTTTATGTATATAATATATGCTAATGTTGAATGCTTGATTACATTCGTATATTGTTATAGAATTGTGATGTTTATTTAAAATTTTAATTCAATCTATTCTATTTCACTTTATGTCCAAAAGGTGTTTGTAGAAATGACTCAATGAATATCTTATTCATATCCCCAATTCGTGTGTTCATTTTTTTTTTGTTAATTTATTTGACTATTTTACTTTATTATTACGAATTTTATGAAAAAATTACGTTTATATTACCAATTAAAGACCCATTAACGAAAATATTACTAAACATTCTCTCGTATTTAAATTCATTTAAACACGATTTGAATATTACTTTTTTGACCTCTTCGGCTCTTCGTGACCTTGTATCTCTGTTAGTATTATCTCTTCCTAAATCCAAAGAATAGTTACTACAAGAATACAAGATAACCAGAACATTCAGGTATCCACATTTACTTATAAATCATTACTATATACGACAACTACCTTACTACAGTCTTCCAAATCAAATCAAAAGTTACTACTACAAATTCGATAGTTTGTTCCAACCTAGATCACTAGTTTGGCCATAGTTACTAAAAATTCGATACTCTGTTCTATATGTCCATTACTTTATTCATATCCTTAAAGTAATTATACTTTAAGTTACTAAAAATTCATTACACCATTCCGATTCCATAAATTAGTTACTACGGAGTATTAAATTTCCATGAACATCAGAATTAGGTCGCCGACATTACTCCATGAATCTATACTAACTACTGGGTCAGAAATCTTTATTTACCTTCACAAAACTAAAATCATCACAATCATGTTAATCATAAATTTATCACCCCAAATAATTACTCTATCTTTGGTCTCAATATCTTTCAGTACGTGTTCATCTTCAAGTACGGTAATGAGAGAATCAAAACAATGGAACGTAATTAAAATACAAAATCTGTAAATGAGTAGTCATCATCTCCTCCCCAATCACGTCATCGATTTTCTCTGGAAATCCAAACTTTCCATCCGAATATAAATCTTAACCTTTTTGGGCAATCAAGTCATTTCCCTTGTTCAGTTACGGATCTTCATGTGTATTAAATAGTTCGGTCATATATTTGTAAACCCAATTATTTTAGGTAATATATGTGTAAAAAACTCGAATTTTATTTAGCTTTTAAAGGTTGGAATGAATGTTTGTTGAATATTAGAAACATGAATATAAAATATTGAGCCAATCATGGTTAACATTCTTTTATTCTTTTTTGTGTTATAATGAACTTCAATGAACTGTTGAGGTTTAGTCCTTCAACCCTCGGGTCCAACACGTAAGCCCAAGGATTTCAAGTGGATTATTTAAGTGTGACGATTAACTGACCCAACAAGCAAATAAGATGGATTAAAGGAGAAATGAATAGGTAAAGGACCGGATATTATCAATGATGAATAACGCCCCAATACAATTACACTTGTTAAGGCCGAAAGCCGTTCGTCTTACAAGGCAGTAGAAGAGCTGCGAGAAAGAGCCAAGTATAAGCTAGAGTGCTAAGGCAAATAAGTTGTCAACCCTTTACAATGAAATAAATGCTGCTATTTATATCATCAATGGGCAATTGGCTATACTGACGTGGAGGGCTGTAGTGGCTGGTGTCTCAACCACCAAATCTTCAGCATTAAATGCGCTTCCCGCCAGAATCTGGGTTTCCCGCCTAACTTGTGGAGAGGGACGTCTAGTTGGGCCGGGGGCCTGCTCCTAGAGATACTGCAAAGGGTTGTGGGCCGTTCATATTCTGGCCCTTGGGAGAATTTGTCATATAGATTGGATTGGACATCATGTGGCTGTGGGCCTTTGATGGCGACGTTCGTCGCCACGGCGTTATCCGCGGGCTTGATCCGCCGTTATCCTGTCCGTACGTTCGTCGGGGTGGGCTGCCTTGTTGGGCTGGACGTTCGTCCAAATGAGGGGGTGAATGAGCCGATCCCCTATTTGGGCCATTACCCAACACAAGTCCCCCACTTCTGATGTTCCGAGCATGCGTGGGACATAAGGAAGTATAACTGTTTTTTGGGTGAGACGTTCCTGACGCGGGGCTACATTCGCCGAGGTCTTGGAGATGGACGTACCTAACCGCGGCGTTGCTTGATTGGCGACGGTCCAGGAATCGAGGTGACGGCTGCCGCAGAAACGGTGCGTTTCTCGAGGCAAGGTCATCATTACGCCCATTACTCCACACGCGACGCGTACCCTAGGGTACGCTCCTCGCCACGCGTCACCTCCTTATTGGTTTTATGAAACGGTGCTTCCCTTATAAATACCAGAATTTCCCAGAGGCTTAGGGTTTCCGATTTTCGCTTTCTCGCCCTAGAATCTCCGCCGTCTTGCGATCAGTTCGTCGCCAAGGTTCCCGACTCGTTTCTGCTATTTCCAAGGTAACTTCAGTTTTGTTTTCTCTCTTGTAATCCCTTCTAGATCTGTGAATGACCTCGATGGAGATTTCCTTGAGCTCTAGTTCGGGCTCTTCTTCTGGCTCCAGTTCTTCCTCTGGCTCTAGGTCCAGCTCCCGCTCTTCTGGGGGCGCCAGTATCTGTGGCCGCTCCGGCTCTCCACCCGTCGTAGGGACGGTTGCTCAGGACGATGCCCCTGGTACCTCCACTTCTGCGGGTGCTACTTCGGCTAGCATGATCCAGGATGATGCCAATTCCGGGGGGAATGGGGGCAGCATCCCCCAAGAGGACGCAACCCAGATGGTTGATGTTGGGGGGCGAACATGGCCCCTGATGATGAGCGTCCAGAAGATTATGACTCGGGCAATGAAGCTGTGGATGGGTCCGATGTGGAGGTGTTCGATTTGGGCCTTACAGTCGACGTGGAACGTTACCTCTGCCCCATCAAGAACGCGATTGGGCATGAACATTTTTTCTCGGACCAAGCCCTCAAGGAGCTTAGTATATATTTCCCCCTCCGTTCGTCTACAGCCTCCGAGGTGCAACCCATGTGATGAGGAGACGCCCGGGGATGGTCATGGTGCACTTCGATTCTATCAGGGTCGGGCTGCGATTTTCATTTCACCCTTTCTATATCGAGCTTTTTAGCTGTTTTCAGGTGGCCCCTGCGCAGTTCATGCCCGACTCCTATCGCTTTATTTCGTCGTTCCTCGTTCGTTGTAAGGCCGTTGGAGTAACCGCGAATCTGGAGTTGTTCCACTACTTTTTCCGGTTCGTCCCCCAAAATTCTGATGGGTTCCTGAGCATAGTCGCATGTCCCAATCGGAGGCTCTTTGAGGGGGCTCCGACCTGTATTCACGAGTGGAAGAATAAGTACTTCTTCCTTCGCTATGAGGACGCTCGTCTGCCGATCCGCTGGAATGGGTATCCTCCTAAGATCGGTTCTCCAAAACTGTCGGACGAGCTGGAAAAGCAAGTCAAGAAGACGATGGCAAATGGGATCTAGGATGTGGAAGATCTTCTTACCTTTGAGAAGCTTACCGAGGCAGGAATAGGTACCGCCCGAATCTCTGGACTCCCCATCCCTTCTACGTTCGTCGCTGGGATCCGGGTGGTCATGTCCTTCGAGGTGAGTACCTTAAGGGCCAACGCTGCTCAGTGCTAACTCCTTGTGTTTCTTGTTTCAGGTCCCCCTCCCACCGAAGCACAAATGAATAATGAGAAGCTCTTGAGGAACAAGAAGGCCAAGGGTGCCGCCGCTAATGCCGCGCTCACAAAGGCCAAGGCTGCCATAGCCTCTAAGTCCAATTCTTCCGCCTCGCAGGCTGAATGGCGCACGATCGAGGCGGAACCTCA